ACAACTTGATTGAAAGGGGTGCAGAGGGAGAAGATGGCGCTGCGGCCAGACCGGGCTTAGCTAGGCGCAGACGCTTGATGCAGCATGCTCCGCCGCAGGCTTTGTGTGGCCCTTGCAGATTCTGACTGGTACCTTAGATTTTCCTCCAGTCGCTGCAACATCTGCAACCATGCCCTCAAGCGGGGGGCCTCCAGATTGCGCGAGCTTGGGGCCGTTTGGGGTGACGGGGTGTCTGTCGTGTTGCAGATGCTTGTAGCAGGAGCACCGCCACCAGCAAGCCCCCTCCTCCCCTTCGAAATGATCCCAACGCCTTACCCGGCTTTGCTCTTCGCGAAAGAAAGATCGAGGACCTGCGCGCCCCCTTTTGGGGCGATTTTCAGTGGCTGAAATGGCACCTTGATCCCAGGGTCAGAACATGTCGCAAGAGTCGCAACCGACGAAAGCCAGTTCGGATATCCCAAGTACCTGGTTTAACCGAACACTGGCACTCACCAAACCCTGAAACCTGAACCCGGCAAAGGCCAGAAGACTGCCATGGCTGTCGCCGCTGGTGCGGCGGCCACGTTGGCCTCTAGGGCAGCTTGGGCAGCAAGATGCAGCAACGCCGTTGCAACTTGATGAAGCTCGCCGGGGTTGTGGTTCAGGGTTTGCAGGTGCGAAGTGGTGTGAAGAGGAAAGGCAGCAAAGTGTTATCGTGACGGGGTGGGTATGGATGTCATGTAGGCATGAACAAGGGAGGAAAAGGCGGAAAAGAGAGATGAGTTTTGCATGTTTCCATGCCCAGGCCTTCGTGCAGAGCAGTCCAGCCGGTCAGGCCCCAGCAGTAACGTGGGCTAGATTTTGCTGGAGCTCAGGTGTTTTTGGGCAAGTGTCACTCAATGTCACTCAAGCACTCAGCAGAGGCGCGGTCCAAGGCCCAAAGTCCAAGGCCAGGATAGCGGCAGCGCGATTGAGACCACGGACTGGGCGCGGGACGCAGGGAGCAGCATGGCGAAGCCAAAGGCCACAGGCGACGCTTCGCGAAGGCGCGTTCGGCGCAGGATGGCGCAGGATGGCGCAGGATGGCGCAGGACTGTGACGGGATCACGATCCAGAGCGCAAGCTTTTGAACCCCATGGTGTCGGCAAACCGTCTTGGGATGTCTTGGGAATTTCGAAGAACGGTGGGAGATTCTATGCCCTTTTCGAGAAGGGCACGTTTGGCAAAGCGTTGCTGTCGATTTCGGACTCTTGCTTGGTCACGGCTGCAAAATCCGTGATGCCAGGGCAAGGCAGAAAGAACAAACGTCCCACACATTCCCACACCTGAGCTTTTCAAGCGACCCCTGTATTTGGTGGGCGGGTAGGGGGGCACGCGGGACATAGGGCATTTCGAGCTTCGAACTCCTTCGAAGCTCAGAAAGAATCTGCTCAATCCTCAAGGACTCAAGGTCGTACAATGTCATAGAACATGCACACACACACATTATCTCTCTCTCTCTCTCTCACGCACATGGGGTCACAGGCCGCTTTGTCAGCATGCCTGACACTGAGCGCAGGCTGCCCCGGAGCGAAGCAGCGTTCAGCTGCGCGGCCGAGTAGCGGCGCAGAGGAGCGCCGAAGGCGCAGTCAGCCGCCTTTGCCAAAGCGCGAACAAAGTGACGCTCCTGGACCTCTGACCAGGCAGCAGCTCCTCAAGCCTTCTTGGCTGCACGACCGTGGCTTCGGCATCAGCCGCTCAGCGTTCTCAGGGAGCGTTTTCAGGGAGCACTCCGGCATGCGCCGGGGCGTGCGTGTGTGTGGGCTTCGGGTTGAAGAAAGGCGCAGAAAAGGCTCAGGGTAGCAGCGCCATCACTCCTCCCTCCCTCTCGCGCTGCAGGCCCTCCTAGCAGCGCAGCTCCGGGGCAAGGACCGGGTCCCCAGGGGGAGGGGTTCTCTCAGGTTCGGGGCTCGGGTTGCGAGACGTAGTTAGGGTCGGGTGATGTCTGGAGCGATTTTTTCCTGTTTCGGAGTGGGCTCTGAGTGCGGATGGGGAGCCCCACGCCTTGGGGGTACATGACTGGAGCATGTGGGGTTATCGGTTCTGGGGACTTTTCTGGTTTCAGTGGGGCCCTGCGACCTTTACCTCGCTCAGCCCAAAGAATTCCAAGTGCAGGCCAGCAGCCGCAAGTCCCAGGTGCGACGGGGGGGGCCTGCTTTGGGCTGGTGCTTTGGGCTGGAAGTGGGGCGGGCCTCTCCTTTGTGCCTGTGCCCCAAGAAGAATCAGAAAGATCCCAAGAAGATCCAAGAAGTATCCTGAAGTCCTAGTGATGTCCCCAGACCCCCCAAGGGACCTTCTGCCACAGGTGGTCGTCAGCGCCTTTGAGAGCGAGCTCGGCGTTCAGGTCCACGGTCTCCTTTCTTCTTGGACATTTTTGGACACTGGCTCGTGCGGCTGACATCGCTAGGACTACCGATAGAGCGCAGGCGTAGGTCAGAGAAATCCTGAGAGGTTTGCGTGCCGTTGTGTCGCCCTAGAGGAAGGCAGTTGACACTTTAGACCGGTTCAGAACATGAAGCCTTCCACGCACCTTCCGAACTGTCATGAGCTGCGCAGGCGCCCGTGGGCTTCTGGGACCCCGCCGGCCTGAGCGCCTTGGCTGGCGTTGGAGGGTTTGGGATCGCGGTTTGAGTTTCAGGGCCGGCGCTTGCCTTTAGCGCCTCCGTGCAAACCGAGAACGCCGAACCCGCCGCCCCGTGTGCAGGTGCGGACGGCAGCGTAGAGAACTTCAAGCGCCGACGGGCCACCGAGCTCAAGCACGGGCGCATTGCAACTGGGCTGCATCCGTGCCGCGAGGATTCGCTCATGTTCGCCCAAATTCGCACATCGTATTATATCGTATTCATGAACATTGCGAATACGCACGTCCATAAGCCTCCCTGGTTTGTGCGCACCGGGATCTCCCGTGGAGAGTATGGTAACCACGTTATACAGGGTTTGCAGACATGTGCGTTCGCGGCTTCTCTTTCGCGACCCCACGTTCGAGTGCGCCCCGCCATGCATCCTAGCCTGGCACAATTTCTGCCGCCATCTCCGGGCGAAGACCCGAAGTGCCTGAGGCGATGCTGGCAACGATGGGCTACATCACCCCAGAGCGGCTTGTCCCAAATTTTGTTGTTTGCGGCATCCTTTGCGGCATCCTTTGCGGCATCCCTTGCGGCATCCCTTGCGGCATCCCTTGCAGCATCCCTTGCGGCATCCCTTGCGGCACCCTTGCATCCTCCTTGTTTTTTCCCCCCAGTAAGGAGCAGTTCTCAGACATGAGTGCAAGCAGACACGTGAAGCTGACCGCTGCGTCTTGGTCTGAGGATCACGGGCAAGTTCCCAGGGTACTTGAGCCCATCTGCCGGACTGAAGTTCGCCGACGTGCCCAACGGCCTGGCAGCCATCTCCAAGGTGCAAGGGTTGCCGGGGGAGGGGGGATGTTACTCGTAGGGCCTGCGTGCCTTAGACTCGTTCATCAGTCGCTTTTTTTCGCTCTCATGTCGTGAGCAGAGAATGGAGACGCGATCCACTTTCCGAATCTTTGCACTTCTTCGTCGCCCCTTCTCCCTTCGCAGTCTGCAGAGGTGCCCCAGGCTGGTTGGGGCCAGATCCTGCTGTACATGGCCTACTGCGAGGCCGGATCACAGGAGTCCTGTGTTTTCTGCGTCCTGAACCATCCTCTATGCTTTCTATGAATGCATGTGTGTGGAAAAAAGAAGAGCCACCGCTGCCTCAAGTTTGGTTAGCCACTGCAACACACGGTTAGGGCCTTGCACGTGGCAGTGCCGCACGTTTTGCATCTCTTGGAGAAGCCCGAGGCCTCCCAGACGCAGGAGCCGGGCACCGCGGCCTATGCTGGAGACTTCGGCTTCAAGGTTCTCACCTCCAGCGACCCGGCCGAGAAGACCAAGAAGCTGAGCCTGGGTCGTGTCTTCAGAAGGGCTTTCGGGCGACCTCTTTTTCAATTTTCGTGTGCTTTGGCGTGATCTCAAAAAGCAGCGGGGGAGGGGGTGGGCGTGAGAGGAGTGCCGAGTTGGCAAATGGCCGACTGGCGATGATGGCCATCATCGGCATGCTCCGGGGCTGCAGACCAGAGTTCCCCAAAGTTGCCTCCTTCAAATGAAGCCTGCGTAACAAGTTCGACGACACTCTTGCCGACCTTGTTGAACTGCTTGCATGTTGAGGTTCTTCCAGGATGGACTCACTGGCAGTGCGTGGGGTGATTGGGCCAACTACACCGCCTCGCCGCTGCGTGCCTTTGAGAACGAGCTCGGTGTCCAGGATCCTGTTGGGTTTTGGGACCCCGCCGGTTTTACGGCCGACGGAAGCGTGGAGGACTTCAAGCGTCGTCGCCAGACTGAAATCAAGCACGGCCGCATCGCCATGCTCGCGACAATGGGATACATCACGCCAGAGCGACTCAGATGACATGTAGTTCGTTCTGCGTGTTGCGTTAGGGCTGTCCCACGTTGCTCGAGTGAGATCTTGTGAGCCGTGCAGCGTGCACGTCACAAGGTTTTTCTTGAGTACACATGATGACTTTGCATTGCCCGATGGTGTATGGCTGACCAAGGATCACGGGCAAGTTCCCAGGTTTTCTGTCGCCATCAGCTGGATTGAAGTTTGCCGATGTCCCCAATGGCCTCGCAGCCATTTCCAAGGTTCCTGCCGCAGGGTGGGGACAGATTCTGGCGTACATGGCCTTCTGCGAGGTCTCTCAGGATCAGTCTGCCGGAACTCCAGCCGCAGCCGGTGACTTCGGGTTCAAGGTCTTGACGTCCAGCGACCCCGCTGAGAAGACGAAAAAATTGTCAGCGGAGTTGGCCAACGGAAGGCTTGCGATGATGGCCATCATCGGCATGTTCTTTCAGGACACGTGACATGAGACAAACTTGTCCAACGTTGCATGAGCATGCGTTAGCAGCTAACTAGTTGCTGGCTGTTGCATTCAGCTTTTTTCCTTATGCTGCACGTCGCAGCGCGTTGTCAATGTGAAGGATGGACTCACTGGCAGTGCGTGGGGTGATTGGGCCAACTACACCGCCTCGCCGCTGCGTGCCTTTGAGAACGAGCTCGGTGTCCAGGATCCTGTTGGATTTTGGGACCCCGCCGGTTTTACGGCCGACGGAAGCGTGGAGGACTTCAAGCGTCGTCGCCAGACTGAAATCAAGCACGGCCGCATCGCCATGCTCGCGACAATGGGATACATCACGCCAGAGCGACTCAGATGACATGTAGTTCGTTCTGCGTGCGTGTTGCGTTAGGGGTGTCTCAGGTGCTCGAGTGAGATCTTGTGAGCCGTGCAGTGTGCATGTCACAAGAATTTTCTTGAGCACATGATGACTTTGCGTTGTACGATGGTGTATGGCTGACCAAGGATCACGGGCAAGTTCCCAGGTTTTCTGTCGCCATCAGCAGGATTGAAGTTTGCCGATGTCCCCAATGGCCTTGCAGCCATTTCCAAGGTTCCTGCCGCAGGGTGGGGACAGATTCTGGCGTACATGGCCTTCTGCGAGGTCTCTCAGGATCAGTCTGCCGGAACTCCGGCCGCAGCGGGTGACTTCGGGTTCAAGGTCTTGACGTCCAGCGACCCCGCTGAGAAGACGAAAAAATTGTCAGCGGAGTTGGCCAACGGAAGGCTTGCGATGATGGCCATCATCGGCATGTTCTTTCAGGACACGTGACATGAGACAAACTTGTCCAACGTTGCATGAGCATGCGTTAGCCGCTAACTAGTTGCTAGCTGTTGCATTCAGCTTTTTTCCTTATGCTGCACGTCGCAGCGCGTTGTCAATGTGAAGGATGGACTCACTGGCAGTGCGTGGGGTGATTGGGCCAACTACACCGCCTCGCCGCTGCGTGCCTTCGAGAACGAGCTCGGTGTCCAGGATCCTGTTGGATTTTGGGACCCCGCCGGTTTTACGGCCGACGGAAGCGTGGAGGACTTCAAGCGTCGTCGCCAGACTGAAATCAAGCACGGCCGCATCGCCATGCTCGCGACAATGGGATACATCACGCCAGAGCGACTCAGATGACATGTAGTTCGTTCTGCGTGCGTGTTGCGTTAGGGGTGTCTCACGTTGCTCGAGTGAGATCTTGTGAGCCGTGCAGCGTGCACGTCACAAGGTTTTTCTTGCGTACATGATGACGTTGCATTGGATGGTGTATGGCTGACCAAGGATCACGGGCAAGTTCCCAGGTTTTCTGTCGCCATCAGCAGGATTGAAGTTTGCCGATGTCCCCAATGGCCTTGCAGCCATTTCCAAGGTTCCTGCCGCAGGGTGGGGACAGATTCTGGCGTACATGGCCTTCTGCGAGGTCTCTCAGGATCAGTCTGCCGGAACTCCGGCCGCAGCCGGTGACTTCGGGTTCAAGGTCTTGACGTCCAGCGACCCCGCTGAGAAGACGAAAAAATTGTCAGCGGAGTTGGCCAACGGAAGGCTTGCGATGATGGCCATCATCGGCATGTTCTTTCAGGACACGTGACATGAGACAAACTTGTCCAACGTTGCATGAGCATGCGCTAGTGACTAACACCAGCTGTTGCATTTAGCTTGTTTCCTTCTGCTGCACGTCGCGGCGCGCTGTCAATGTGAAGGATGGACTCACTGGCAGCGCTTGGGGTGATTGGGCCAACTACACCGCCTCGCCGCTGCGTGCCTTCGAGAACGAGCTCGGTGTCCAGGATCCTGTTGGATTTTGGGACCCCGCCGGTTTTACGGCCGACGGAAGCGTGGACGACTTCAAGCGTCGTCGCCAGACTGAAATCAAGCACGGCCGCATCGCCATGCTCGCGACAATGGGATACATCACGCCAGAGCGACTCAGATGACATATAGTTCGTTCTGCATGCGTTGCATTAGGGCTGTCTCACGTTGCTCGATTGAGATCTTGTGAGCCGTGCAGCGTGCATGTCACAAGATTTTCTTGAGTACATGATGACGTTGCATTGCACGATGGTGTATGGCTGACCAAGGATCACGGGCAAGTTCCCAGGTTTTCTGTCGCCATCAGCTGGATTGAAGTTTGCCGATGTCCCCAATGGCCTTGCAGCCATTTCCAAAGTTCCTGCCGCAGGGTGGGGACAGATTCTGGCGTACATGGCCTTCTGCGAGGTCTCTCAGGATCAGTCTGCCGGAACTCCGGCCGCCGCCGGTGACTTCGGGTTCAAGGTCTTGACGTCCAGCGACCCCGCTGAGAAGACGAAAAAATTGTCAGCGGAGTTGGCCAACGGAAGGCTTGCGATGATGGCCATCATCGGCATGTTCTTTCAGGACACGTGACATGAGACAAGCTTGTCCAACGTTGCATGAGCATGCGTTAGCAGCTAACTAGTTGCTGGCTGTTGCATTCAGCTTGTTTCCTTATGCTGCACGTCGCAGCGCGTTGTCAATGTGAAGGATGGACTCACTGGCAGTGCGTGGGGTGATTGGGCCAACTACACCGCCTCGCCGCTGCGTGCCTTTGAGAACGAGCTCGGTGTCCAGGATCCTGTTGGATTTTGGGACCCCGCCGGTTTTACGGCCGACGGAAGCGTGGAGGACTTCAAGCGTCGTCGCCAGACTGAAATCAAGCACGGTCGCATCGCCATGCTCGCGACAATGGGATACATCACGCCAGAGCGACTCAGATGACATGTAGTTCGTTCTGCGTGCGTGTTGCGTTTGGGATACATCACTCCCGTCCTGTCATGAATTCGATATAGTTCGTTCTGCATGCGTGTTGCATTAGGGCTGTCTCACGTTGCTCGAGTGAGATCTTGTGAGCCGTGCAGCGTGCATGTCACAAGATTTTCTTGAGTACATGATGACGTTGCATTGGATGGTGTATGGCTGACCAAGGATCACGGGCAAGTTCCCAGGTTTTCTGTCGCCATCAGCAGGATTGAAGTTTGCCGATGTCCCCAATGGCCTTGCAGCCATTTCCAAAGTTCCTGCCGCAGGGTGGGGACAGATTCTGGCGTACATGGCCTTCTGCGAGGTCTCTCAGGATCAGTCTGCCGGAACTCCGGCCGCAGCCGGTGACTTCGGGTTCAAGGTCTTGACGTCCAGCGACCCCGCTGAGAAGACGAAAAAATTGTCAGCGGAGTTGGCCAACGGAAGGCTTGCGATGATGGCCATCATCGGCATGTTCTTTCAGGACACGTGACATGAGACAAGCTTGTCCAACGTTGCATGAGCATGCGTTGGCAGCTAACTAGTTGCTGGCTGTTGCATTCAGCTTGTTTCCTTATGCTGCACGTCGCAGCGCGTTGTCAATGTGAAGGATGGACTCACTGGCAGTGCGTGGGGTGATTGGGCCAACTACACCGCCTCGCCGCTGCGTGCCTTTGAGAACGAGCTCGGTGTCCAGGATCCTGTTGGATTTTGGGACCCCGCCGGTTTTACGGCCGACGGAAGCGTGGAGGACTTCAAGCGTCGTCGCCAGACTGAAATCAAGCACGGCCGCATCGCCATGCTCGCGACAATGGGATACATCACGCCAGAGCGACTCAGATGACATGTAGTTCGTTCTGCGTGCGTGTTGCGTTAGGGCTGTCTCACGTGCTCGAGTGAGATCTTGTGAGCCGTGCAGTGTGCATGTCACAAGAATTTTCTTGAGTAAATGATGACTTTGCATTGCACGATGGTCTATGGCTGACCAAGGATCACGGGCAAGTTCCCAGGTTATCTGTCGCCATCAGCAGGATTGAAGTTTGCCGATGTCCCCAATGGCCTTGCAGCCATTTCCAAGGTTCCTGCCGCAGGGTGGGGACAGATTCTGGCGTACATGGCCTTCTGCGAGGTCTCTCAGGATCAGTCTGCCGGAACTCCGGCCGCAGCCGGTGACTTCGGGTTCAAGGTCTTGACGTCCAGCGACCCCGCTGAGAAGACGAAAAAATTGTCAGCGGAGTTGGCCAACGGAAGGCTTGCGATGATGGCCATCATCGGCATGTTCTTTCAGGACACGTGACATGAGACAAACTTGTCCAACGTTGCATGAGCATGCGCTAGCCGCTAACTAGTTGCTAGCTGTTGCATGCAGCTTGCTTCCTTATGCTGAACGTCGCAGCACCTGGTCACCTTGTCAATGCGCAGGACGGGCTCACCGGCAGTGCTTGGGGTGATTGGGCCAACTACACCGCCTCGCCGCTGCGTGCCGCAGCCGAGGCCTAAACTTTTCTAAGCTCGCCTTTTAACCTCACACTGAGCCGGCCGCTCAGCCGGCGCGGCCCGCCGAGGGCAGTGTACAGAGCGGAGGCTCGCAAAAAAGGATCCAGCTCGCTACTGCGCAGGAACATGTCCTTAAAACCCCCCTGCGATCCTATGTGTCCGGTACAGAGATGTACAGACAACTTGATTGAAAGGGGTGCAGAGGGAGAAGATGGCGCTGCGGCCAGACCGGGCTTAGCTAGGCGCAGACGCTTGATGCAGCATGCTCCGCCGCAGGCTTTGTGTGGCCCTTGCAGATTCTGACTGGTACCTTAGATTTTCCTCCAGTCGCTGCAACATCTGCAACCATGCCCTCAAGCGGGGGGCCTCCAGATTGCGCGAGCTTGGGGCCGTTTGGGGTGACGGGGTGTCTGTCGTGTTGCAGATGCTTGTAGCAGGAGCACCGCCACCAGCAAGCCCCCTCCTCCCCTTCGAAATGATCCCAACGCCTTACCCGGCTTTGCTCTTCGCGAAAGAAAGATCGAGGACCTGCGCGCCCCCTTTTGGGGCGATTTTCAGTGGCTGAAATGGCACCTTGATCCCAGGGTCAGAACATGTCGCAAGAGTCGCAACCGACGAAAGCCAGTTCGGATATCCCAAGTACCTGGTTTAACCGAACACTGGCACTCACCAAACCCTGAAACCTGAACCCGGCAAAGGCCAGAAGACTGCCATGGCTGTCGCCGCTGGTGCGGCGGCCACGTTGGCCTCTAGGGCAGCTTGGGCAGCAAGATGCAGCAACGCCGTTGCAACTTGATGAAGCTCGCCGGGGTTGTGGTTCAGGGTTTGCAGGTGCGAAGTGGTGTGAAGAGGAAAGGCAGCAAAGTGTTATCGTGACGGGGTGGGTATGGATGTCATGTAGGCATGAACAAGGGAGGAAAAGGCGGAAAAGAGAGATGAGTTTTGCATGTTTCCATGCCCAGGCCTTCGTGCAGAGCAGTCCAGCCGGTCAGGCCCCAGCAGTAACGTGGGCTAGATTTTGCTGGAGCTCAGGTGTTTTTGGGCAAGTGTCACTCAATGTCACTCAAGCACTCAGCAGAGGCGCGGTCCAAGGCCCAAAGTCCAAGGCCAGGATAGCGGCAGCGCGATTGAAACCACGGACTGGGCGCGGGACGCAGGGAGCAGCATGGCGAAGCCAAAGGCCACAGGCGACGCTTCGCGAAGGCGCGTTCGGCGCAGGATGGCGCAGGATGGCGCAGGATGGCGCAGGACTGTGACGGGATCACGATCCAGAGCGCAAGCTTTTGAACCCCATGGTGTCGGCAAACCGTCTTGGGATGTCTTGGGAATTTCGAAGAACGGTGGGAGATTCTATGCCCTTTTCGAGAAGGGCACGTTTGGCAAAGCGTTGCTGTCGATTTCGGACTCTTGCTTGGCCACGGCTGCAAAATCCGCGATGCCAGGGCAAGGCAGAAAGAACAAACGTCCCACACATTCCCACACCTGAGCTTTTCAAGCGACCCCTGTATTTGGTGGGCGGGTAGGGGGGCACGCGGGACATAGGGCATTTCGAGCTTCGAACTCCTTCGAAGCTCAGAAAGAATCTGCTCAATCCTCAAGGACTCAAGGTCGTACAATGTCATAGAACATGCACACACACACATTATCTCTCTCTCTCTCTCTCACGCACATGGGGTCACAGGCCGCTTTGTCAGCATGCCTGACACTGAGCGCAGGCTGCCCCGGAGCGAAGCAGCGTTCAGCTGCGCGGCCGAGTAGCGGCGCAGAGGAGCGCCGAAGGCGCAGTCAGCCGCCTTTGCCAAAGCGCGAACAAAGTGACGCTCCTGGACCTCTGACCAGGCAGCAGCTCCTCAAGCCTTCTTGGCTGCACGACCGTGGCTTCGGCATCAGCCGCTCAGCGTTCTCAGGGAGCGTTTTCAGGGAGCACTCCGGCATGCGCCGGGGCGTGCGTGTGTGTGGGCTTCGGGTTGAAGAAAGGCGCAGAAAAGGCTCAGGGTAGCAGCGCCATCACTCCTCCCTCCCTCTCGCGCTGCAGGCCCTCCTAGCAGCGCAGCTCCGGGGCAAGGACCGGGTCCCCAGGGGGAGGGGTTCTCTCAGGTTCGGGGCTCGGGTTGCGAGACGTAGTTAGGGTCGGGTGATGTCTGGAGCGATTTTTTCCTGTTTCGGAGTGGGCTCTGAGTGCGGATGGGGAGCCCCACGCCTTGGGGGTACATGACTGGAGCATGTGGGGTTATCGGTTCTGGGGACTTTTCTGGTTTCAGTGGGGCCCTGCGACCTTTACCTCGCTCAGCCCAAAGAATTCCAAGTGCAGGCCAGCAGCCGCAAGTCCCAGGTGCGACGGGGGGGGCCTGCTTTGGGCTGGTGCTTTGGGCTGGAAGTGGGGCGGGCCTCTCCTTTGTGCCTGTGCCCCAAGAAGAATCAGAAAGATCCCAAGAAGATCCAAGAAGTATCCTGAAGTCCTAGTGATGTCCCCAGACCCCCCAAGGGACCTTCTGCCACAGGTGGTCGTCAGCGCCTTTGAGAGCGAGCTCGGCGTTCAGGTCCACGGTCTCCTTTCTTCTTGGACATTTTTGGACACTGGCTCGTGCGGCTGACATCGCTAGGACTACCGATAGAGCGCAGGCGTAGGTCAGAGAAATCCTGAGAGGTTTGCGTGCCGTTGTGTCGCCCTAGAGGAAGGCAGTTGACACTTTAGACCGGTTCAGAACATGAAGCCTTCCACGCACCTTCCGAACTGTCATGAGCTGCGCAGGCGCCCGTGGGCTTCTGGGACCCCGCCGGCCTGAGCGCCTTGGCTGGCGTTGGAGGGTTTGGGATCGCGGTTTGAGTTTCAGGGCCGGCGCTTGCCTTTAGCGCCTCCGTGCAAACCGAGAACGCCGAACCCGCCGCCCCGTGTGCAGGTGCGGACGGCAGCGTAGAGAACTTCAAGCGCCGACGGGCCACCGAGCTCAAGCACGGGCGCATTGCAACTGGGCTGCATCCGTGCCGCGAGGATTCGCTCATGTTCGCCCAAATTCGCACATCGTATTATATCGTATTCATGAACATTGCGAATACGCACGTCCATAAGCCTCCCTGGTTTGTGCGCACCGGGATCTCCCGTGGAGAGTATGGTAACCACGTTATACAGGGTTTGCAGACATGTGCGTTCGCGGCTTCTCTTTCGCGACCCCACGTTCGAGTGCGCCCCGCCATGCATCCTAGCCTGGCACAATTTCTGCCGCCATCTCCGGGCGAAGACCCGAAGTGCCTGAGGCGATGCTGGCAACGATGGGCTACATCACCCCAGAGCGGCTTGTCCCAAATTTTGTTGTTTGCGGCATCCTTTGCGGCATCCTTTGCGGCATCCCTTGCGGCATCCCTTGCGGCATCCCTTGCAGCATCCCTTGCGGCATCCCTTGCGGCACCCTTGCATCCTCCTTGTTTTTTCCCCCCAGTAAGGAGCAGTTCTCAGACATGAGTGCAAGCAGACACGTGAAGCTGACCGCTGCGTCTTGGTCTGAGGATCACGGGCAAGTTCCCAGGGTACTTGAGCCCATCTGCCGGACTGAAGTTCGCCGACGTGCCCAACGGCCTGGCAGCCATCTCCAAGGTGCAAGGGTTGCCGGGGGAGGGGGGATGTTACTCGTAGGGCCTGCGTGCCTTAGACTCGTTCATCAGTCGCTTTTTTTCGCTCTCATGTCGTGAGCAGAGAATGGAGACGCGATCCACTTTCCGAATCTTTGCACTTCTTCGTCGCCCCTTCTCCCTTCGCAGTCTGCAGAGGTGCCCCAGGCTGGTTGGGGCCAGATCCTGCTGTACATGGCCTACTGCGAGGCCGGATCACAGGAGTCCTGTGTTTTCTGCGTCCTGAACCATCCTCTATGCTTTCTATGAATGCATGTGTGTGGAAAAAAGAAGAGCCACCGCTGCCTCAAGTTTGGTTAGCCACTGCAACACACGGTTAGGGCCTTGCACGTGGCAGTGCCGCACGTTTTGCATCTCTTGGAGAAGCCCGAGGCCTCCCAGACGCAGGAGCCGGGCACCGCGGCCTATGCTGGAGACTTCGGCTTCAAGGTTCTCACCTCCAGCGACCCGGCCGAGAAGACCAAGAAGCTGAGCCTGGGTCGTGTCTTCAGAAGGGCTTTCGGGCGACCTCTTTTTCAATTTTCGTGTGCTTTGGCGTGATCTCAAAAAGCAGCGGGGGAGGGGGTGGGCGTGAGAGGAGTGCCGAGTTGGCAAATGGCCGACTGGCGATGATGGCCATCATCGGCATGCTCCGGGGCTGCAGACCAGAGTTCCCCAAAGTTGCCTCCTTCAAATGAAGCCTGCGTAACAAGTTCGACGACACTCTTGCCGACCTTGTTGAACTGCTTGCATGTTGAGGTTCTTCCAGGATGGACTCACTGGCAGTGCGTGGGGTGATTGGGCCAACTACACCGCCTCGCCGCTGCGTGCCTTTGAGAACGAGCTCGGTGTCCAGGATCCTGTTGGGTTTTGGGACCCCGCCGGTTTTACGGCCGACGGAAGCGTGGAGGACTTCAAGCGTCGTCGCCAGACTGAAATCAAGCACGGCCGCATCGCCATGCTCGCGACAATGGGATACATCACGCCAGAGCGACTCAGATGACATGTAGTTCGTTCTGCGTGTTGCGTTAGGGCTGTCCCACGTTGCTCGAGTGAGATCTTGTGAGCCGTGCAGCGTGCACGTCACAAGGTTTTTCTTGAGTACACATGATGACTTTGCATTGCCCGATGGTGTATGGCTGACCAAGGATCACGGGCAAGTTCCCAGGTTTTCTGTCGCCATCAGCTGGATTGAAGTTTGCCGATGTCCCCAATGGCCTCGCAGCCATTTCCAAGGTTCCTGCCGCAGGGTGGGGACAGATTCTGGCGTACATGGCCTTCTGCGAGGTCTCTCAGGATCAGTCTGCCGGAACTCCAGCCGCAGCCGGTGACTTCGGGTTCAAGGTCTTGACGTCCAGCGACCCCGCTGAGAAGACGAAAAAATTGTCAGCGGAGTTGGCCAACGGAAGGCTTGCGATGATGGCCATCATCGGCATGTTCTTTCAGGACACGTGACATGAGACAAACTTGTCCAACGTTGCATGAGCATGCGTTAGCGCTAACTAGTTGCTAGCTGTTGCATTCAGCTTTTTTCCTTATGCTGCACGTCGCAGCGCGTTGTCAATGTGAAGGATGGACTCACTGGCAGTGCGTGGGGTGATTGGGCCAACTACACCGCCTCGCCGCTGCGTGCCTTCGAGAACGAGCTCGGTGTCCAGGATCCTGTTGGATTTTGGGACCCCGCCGGTTTTACGGCCGACGGAAGCGTGGAGGACTTCAAGCGTCGTCGCCAGACTGAAATCAAGCACGGCCGCATCGCCATGCTCGCGACAATGGGATACATCACGCCAGAGCGACTCAGATGACATATAGTTCGTTCTGCATGCGTTGCGTTAGGGCTGTCTCACGTTGCTATAGTGAGATCTTGTTAGCCGTGCAGCGTGCACGTCACAAGGTTTTTCTTGAGTACATGATGACTTTGCATTGCCCAATGGTGTATGACTGACCAAGGATCACGGGCAAGTTCCCAGGTTTTCTGTCGCCATCAGCAGGATTGAAGTTTGCCGATGTCCCCAATGGCCTTGCAGCCATTTCCAAGGTTCCTGCCGCAGGGTGGGGACAGATTCTGGCGTACATGGCCTTCTGCGAGGTCTCTCAGGATCAGTCTGCCGGAACTCCGGCCGCAGCCGGTGACTTCGGGTTCAAGGTCTTGACGTCCAGCGACCCCGCTGAGAAGACGAAAAAATTGTCAGCGGAGTTGGCCAACGGAAGGCTTGCGATGATGGCCATCATCGGCATGTTCTTTCAGGACACGTGACATGAGACAAACTTGTCCAACGTTGCATGAGCATGCGTTAGCAGCTAACTAGTTGCTGGCTGTTGCATTCAGCTTGTTTCCTTATGCTGCACGTCGCAGCGCGTTGTCAATGTGAAGGATGGACTCACTGGCAGTGCGTGGGGTGATTGGGCCAACTACACCGCCTCGCCGCTGCGTGCCTTCGAGAACGAGCTCGGTGTCCAGGATCCTGTTGGATTTTGGGACCCCGCCGGTTTTACGGCCGACGGAAGCGTGGAGGACTTCAAGCGTCGTCGCCAGACTGAAATCAAGCACGGCCGCATCGCCATGCTCGCGACAATGGGATACATCACGCCAGAGCGACTCAGATGACATGTAGTTCGTTCTGCATGCGTGTTGCGTTAGGGGTGTCTCACGTGCTCTAGTGAGATCTTGTTAGCCGTGCAGCGTGCACGTCACAAGGTTTTGCTTGAGTACATGATGACTTTGCATTGCCCGATGGTGTATGACTGACCAAGGATCACGGGCAAGTTCCCAGGTTTTCTGTCGCCATCAGCAGGATTGAAGTTTGCCGATGTCCCCAATGGCCTTGCAGCCATTTCCAAGGTTCCTGCCGCAGGGTGGGGACAGATTCTGGCGTACATGGCCTTCTGCGAGGTCTCTCAGGATCAGTCTGCCGGAACTCCGGCCGCAGCCGGTGACTTCGGGTTCAAGGTCTTGACGTCCAGCGACCCCGCTGAGAAGACGAAAAAATTGTCAGCGGAGTTGGCCAACGGAAGGCTTGCAATGATGGCCATCATCGGCATGTTCTTTCAGGACACGTGACATGAAACAAACTTGTCCAACGTTGCATGAGCGTGCGTTAGTCACTAACACCAGCTGTTGCATTCAGCTTGTTTACTTATGCTGCACGTCGCAGCGCGCTGTCAATGTGAAGGATGGACTCACTGGCAGCGCTTGGGGTGATTGGGCCAACTACACCGCCTCTCCGCTGCGTGCCTTCGAGAACGAGCTCGGTGTCCAGGATCCTGTTGGATTTTGGGACCCCGCCGGTTTTACGGCCGACGGAAGCGTGGAGGACTTCAAGCGTCGTCGCCAGACTGAAATCAAGCACGGCCGCATCGCCATGCTCGCGACAATGGGATACATCACGCCAGAGCGACTCAGATGACATATAATTCGTTCTGCGTGCGTGTTGCGTTAGGGCTGTCTCACGTGCTCGAGTAGGTCTTGTGAGGAGTGCAGCGTACATGTCACAAGGTTTTCTTGAGTACATGATGGCGTTGCATTGCACGATGGTGTATGGCTGACCAAGGATCACGGGCAAGTTCCCAGGTTTTCTGTCGCCATCAGCAGGATTGAAGTTTGCCGATGTCCCCAATGGCCTTGCAGCCATTTCCAAGGTTCCTGCCGCAGGGTGGGGACAGATTCTGGCGTACATGGCCTTCTGCGAGGTCTCTCAGGATCAGTCTGCCGGAACTCCGGCCGCAGCCGGTGACTTCGGGTTCAAGGTCTTGACGTCCAGCGACCCCGCTGAGAAGACGAAAAAATTGTCAGCGGAGTTGGCCAACGGAAGGCTTGCGATGATGGCCATCATCGGCATGTTCTTTCAGGACACGTGACATGAGACAAACTTGTCCAACGTTGCATGAGCATGCGTTAGCCGCTAACTAGTTGCTAGCTGTTGCATTTAGCTTGTTTCCTTATGCTGCACGTCGCAGCGCGTTGTCAATGTGAAGGATGGACTCACTGGCAGTGCGTGGGGTGATTGGGCCAACTACACCGCCTCGCCGCTGCGTGCCTTCGAGAACGAGCTCGGTGTCCAGGATCCTGTTGGATTTTGGGACCCCGCCGGTTTTACGGCCGACGGAAGCGTGGAGGACTTCAAGCGTCGTCGCCAGACTGAAATCAAGCACGGCCGCATCGCCATGCTCGCGACAATGGGATACATCACGCCAGAGCGACTCAGATGACATGTAGTTCGTTCTGCGTGCATGTTGCGTTAGGGCTGTCTCACGTTGCTCGATTGAGATCTTGTGAGCCGTGCAGCGTGCATGTCACAAGATTTTCTTGAGTACATGATGACGTTGCATTGCACGATGGTGTATGGCTGACCAAGGATCACGGGCAAGTTCCCAGGTTTTCTGTCGCCATCAGCAGGATTGAAGTTTGCCGATGTCCCCAATGGCCTTGCAGCCATTTCCAAGGTTCCTGCCGCAGGGTGGGGACAGATTCTGGCGTACATGGCCTTCTGCGAGGTCTCTCAGGATCAGTCTGCCGGAACTCCGGCCGCAGCCGGTGACTTCGGGTTCAAGGTCTTGACGTCCAGCGACCCCGCTGAGAAGACGAAAAAATTGTCAGCGGAGTTGGCCAACGGAAGGCTTGCGATGATGGCCATCATCGGCATGTTCTTTCAGGACACGTGACATGAGACAAACTTGTCCAACGTTGCATGAGCATGCGTTAGCCGCTAACTAGTTGCTAGCTGTTGCATTCAGCTTTTTTCCTTATGCTGCACGTCGCAGCGCGTTGTCAATGTGAAGGATGGACTCACTGGCAGTGCGTGGGGTGATTGGGCCAACTACACCGCCTCGCCGCTGCGTGCCTTCGAGAACGAGCTCGGTGTCCAGGATCCTGTTGGATTTTGGGACCCCGCCGGTTTTACGGCCGACGGAAGCGTGGAGGACTTCAAGCGTCGTCGCCAGACTGAAATCAAGCACGGCCGCATCGCCATGCTCGCGACAATGGGATACATCACGCCAGAGCGACTCAGATGACATGTAGTTCGTTCTGCGTGCGTGTTGCGTTAGGGGTGTCTCAGGAGCTCGAGTGAGATCTTGTGAGCCGTGCAGTGTGCATGTCACAAGAATTTTCTTGAGTACATGATGACTTTGCATTGCACGATGGTCTATGGCTGACCAAGGATCACGGGCAAGTTCCCAGGTTTTCTGTCGCCATCAGCAGGATTGAAGTTTGCCGATGTCCCCAATGGCCTTGCAGCCATTTCCAAGGTTCCTGCCGCAGGGTGGGGACAGATTCTGGCGTACATGGCCTTCTGCGAGGTCTCTCAGGATCAGTCTGCCGGAACTCCGGCCGCAGCCGGTGACTTCGGGTTCAAGGTCTTGACGTCCAGCGACCCCGCTGAGAAGACGAAAAAATTGTCAGCGGAGTTGGCCAACGGAAGGCTTGCGATGATGGCCATCATCGGCATGTTCTTTCAGGACACGTGACATGAGACAAACTTGTCCAACGTTGCATGAGCATGCGTTAGCAGCTAACTAGTTGCTGGCTGTTGCATTCAGCTTTTTTCCTTATGCTGCACGTCGCAGCACCTGGTCACCTTGTCAATGCGCAGGACGGGCTCACCGGCAGTGCTTGGGGTGATTGGGCCAACTACACCGCCTCGCCGCTGCGTGCCGCAGCCGAGGCCTAAACTTTTCTAAGCTCGCCTTTTAACCTCAC